GCAAGTTTCTGTTTGGCCCCTTGATTTAAAAAAATATTTTTTTTATAAAAAAATTTATAATTTTATAAATAAAAAAAAAAAAAAAAAAAAAAAAAAAAAAAAACTTCTGTACTTGGAGGCCCTAACTAGACCGAGAGGGAACAGGGTCCAGTAGCTCCTCCAAGGATTCTGCTCCTTCTAGTTTTGGCTCCTCCTTTTCAGACTTTGCCTTCTTTTTGGGGATTTTACTGGATGAAGTTGTGTCTTCCTGCATCAGTTCTTTGGCCAGGATGTTGGTCACTGCATGACCAGCTCGCCGGTGGTTGGCTGAGAAAGGAAAACAAAGTGAGATTAAAAAAATAAAAGGCATTAAAGTATGTTACCCTGGGTTCCTAAACATTTTTCAGATCTTGTAGGAACCCTGGTACACCGTATTCAGAGATGACTTGAAAGAGCAGGTCAAAGAGACATTTCACAACTCAACTTAATCAAAACAGACAGAAGCCCAATATTGGTTTGTATGAGAAGCGCATTAATGTAATATCTGGAACAACTTAGTGCTATTGCTAGATCAAAGTCAATCTGTTGTTGATATGGTGAAGCAAAAATAAGGGAATAAAATGGAAGAAGGCAGAAGTGGGAGAAGAGAAAGCAGAGTTGTTGGGAGGAACAAACAGAAATTATGTATGCAAAACCCAAGAGGTAAGGCAGCGGGTTAAACAGCAGCATGATTCATGCTGTGGGAAGATTAAACACTGAGGGATGAATGAAAATGAGACGAAAATGGCTACAGAGACTTGAGTCAGAGAGGGAATAAGCTGAGAGGAATGACGAGAGCTGACAGAAATAAGACGGACATTTCATTTAGAGAATAAGTATGACGGATCGGACCCTGAGGACGTCGTCTTTTTCATTCATCTACCTGCTTACAGTTATCTCCTTACATAGCAGCAGCCGCCTTATCGCTCCTCTCCTCCGCTTATTCCGCTTATGCTCGTTGCTGCGTAGGAGGACAGCTGTACAGCAGCAGCCATTTTGAGCTATATAGGTCAGTGGAAGATTGCTCTTGTGTGTTTGCTGTTATTTTACACCAGGTGAACGTTTAGAGGTCTCCACTCCTCACGCAAACAATGCAAAACCAAAAAGCAAACATCAGTCCTGTAAGTTAAAATAGGCATGCAAATGAACCGAGGTTCAACAAGCGACACGAGATGCACGACACACAAAAGAAACTCCACACAGATTTACCAAGCACGTTTCCAGAACTAGCTCCGACAGAGACAAAACCGAGTCTACAGAAAGAAAGAGGAGAAACATGTATGGATCCAGAGCTGCAATTTTTAGGCCTGTAATCTTTTTTTTTTTTTAAATATCAGATTAAATAAACAGCACAACAGCTAATGTAGCAACAATCCCCTTCCACCGTTTCCTGTAGGAAACAGATCTCTCCCCATCATAAACACTCCCTCTTCTCTCACCCTATTCAATCCCTTCTTACTCAGAAATGTGCTAATTAGAAATTATGCAAATGACCCAAAAACCATGAGAAACGGCACATGTTGGTGTGGCTGACTTCATGTGTGACAAGCTTGTCCTACATGTTTAAACCCGTTGAGAAAAACTTCTTCAAAGGCCGTCAACGCAGCTTCTCTTCTTTCATCCTCCTCCTCTTCCTCTTGAGAGCCGAGGAGGAGAGGAAGAGGAAGCAGCATGGGAAAGAGACACATTTAGACAACAACACTTAAGTTTAAATAGAAGAAGAGAAAAATGATGATCTGAAATATGTTGAAAGTATTTTGGCGTTTCTCTCAAGTGCATTGAGGCTCTGGACTTTTAAGAGAATACTGCAATAAGACAAGACATATAGTTGTAACCTAATGTGGTTCACACTTGCATAACACAGAGGAAAACAAAGACTCCCAGAATACAACTAGCATTTTAACTGGTTTTCAATTTTAGACATTTCCCAAGTTGGACAAAAGAAATCTGGTGAAAACTTAAATTTGTCCTTAAAACTAGAAGCGACTGTGTGTTGCTGTCAGGGCCGAGATAACTTCAAAAGACACCAAAAGGAAAATAACGCTCAATTAAAAAAGGGAAATCAACTCTTCTTTTAAATGGTACATTTCAAATATGTCTCCTAAAACAATGATGTATTTTCTGCACTTTCCTGTGGTTTTACAGCTCAATCTACTAAAAACTGAGTAAAGTCGTGTTCCAAACATCAATATTATGTTTTAACTACATAAATTATAATCCAGTAGGTTTATCCAGGTTAGGTTATTAATCAACCTGTAAAAAGAACTATTATAATAAGAGCCATCTAAACCGAGAAGATAAACTATGTCTTGACAAATGTCAAACTTTATTCAATTACGAAACCAATTATGGGTCTTTCACTATTATAGAACTGCAATACAAAACTCACTGCAGTATTTCTTCATGCTTTACTAAGCACAGTGCATGCATTTTGAACATGGTCACCATCTCGGACATGGACTAAATGATCCATGCGGTTGGCATGAAGCTGAGTGGCTGCACCACATTTGCAGGATCTGTTGGGCTGATAAAGGCTGTTGATGGTCTGTTTACTGGTGAATGTTTACACACCGTAGGGAGCTTTGTGGCACAAAAAGCTAAGTGAAAAAAGTCTGCAACACATTACACTGCAGGAGGCGAAGTAATGAGCACCTGATGAGAGATAATGTTCTGCTGTACAACGTGTTGTGATTCCTGCGCTAACCAATAACAACCTGGATGAGAGATGCTCTGCAGCTTTGTTCAGGTAGGCAATTGCACTCAAAGTTATCTTTTTGTCCTTCACTTTTAAATGATGTTCCGATTACAGCTCGTAATCTTTTTACAGCGGTCTGGGGCAACATTTCCTCAGCATTTCTTAAAGCGTTATTGAAGTTTTTTTTCTTGAGCAATTGGCTCCTTTTTCACTCAAATTCAGTTAGTTTCAGGAAGGTTTGCTTTGTTTGTCGGACCGGCTAAATTTGATACCAGAGTCATGCAGAAATAAAACAAACAAACAAAAAAAACAGACAACTTGTGGGATAAATTAATGCTGTGTTTTATCTAGTCAACTTACTAAAAGAAAAGAGCTTCACACTGGACCTGTATAAGTAGCAGCCTTTTATCCACTTTAGTTGAGTCTATCTAAAACAACATTCAACACTGCTTCACAAATTTGTATTTTAGCTTCAACTAGGTAACTCCAAAGGAGCCAGAAGCTGAAAACATTTTAAAAACCAAACAAAAAGATCAGAATCTTTAAAGGCTTTTTTTTATGTCTTACTTCCCCACTTTTCAGACTTTCAGACATCTTTCTTTATTGCAGGACATAAGGCTTTTTTTTTTTTTTTTTTAAAAACCTCTTCTGCCCCCCACTGTTCTATTAATGTCTTTAAGTAAACTTTTCAGACATCTTTGTACTTCAAGAACAAAAACCACTTTTATAGATTACAGGAAAGTCAAACTTCTCGGAAGCTCGAGGGAATAAGATGTGGTTTAAACCTCTGCTCTGTATTGTGCAGACTGTTTATGGCCCAGAAACACACAGGACAACATAATGATGGTGATGCAGCCAAGATAACGGTGCATCTGCAGATGCGGGCAGAGCTTGTGTTCATTTTACCAGGGACACATACCTCCCTCCTCAGGCTGCTCTGGGTAATACACTGCTGCTCCACAGCTGAGGATTGTGGGAAATAGTGACATCACCTAGCACCACTGCAAGCTGTTGAGCAAACTATTGACGCCAAAACATTAAGCATTTTCTGCCACTGGGGCACATGGTTGCATTTCATTGTGTTTGTGGGTATTGACGCATGTGACGTCACTGCTTTTTCAATCACAGCTTGATGGACGATCTTTGTCCAGTTGGACTGATCCTGCTTTAAGCGTCTGTATGGTAGCTGGTGTTTGGGAGCATCTGTGAAAGCATTCCTGCAGACGGTGCTCAGACAGCGTGTGCCTCTCTCTATTGTTGCTATGCTTTTTATCTCCTTCTCTCTGTTGTGATTGGTACTTTGTCAGGAAGTCGCCTCTATCATTGGATGTTGCACTGAGGGTCATGACCCAGCAGATGGGTCTATAGTGTGTTTAGACACAACATTCCTCCACTTAATTTATCCAAACAGGATTCTTATTCATTCTCATGGAAAACATCCAAGCTTTTCCAGACTCAAATTGAGAAAGTTGAGATTTCTTTGTGTTTACTTTGTCATAAAGTCTTAGTTAACGTTAGTATTTATATTCTAAAGACTTCTAGAACACACGTGCCTAAAATAAAAAATAAAAAAATAAAGGGAAGGAATACACAAGGAAGGATATAAGGGTTAGACACAAGGAAGGGATGGAGGTAGGACAAGGATGAGACAAAGAATGAAGGAGAAGTAGACACCAGAAAAACATAAAAGGAAAACACACAGGCAAATATAATAAATAGAGGCAGGGCATCAGGAAAGAAAGACAAAGGAAAGAGGGAATGGCACAGGTAGAACAAAAAGACGGAAGGGCATTAGGGAGGAGAAAAAGAAAAGGAGGATAACATTTAGATAATAGAAAGTAGAATCTAAATACAAGTATTAATCCATGCGCTTCTCAACTTTTCCCACACTCATCTACACTTAAATAATGCTGAAAAAGCATAGACATCCTATCTGAACACAAATCAACTGATTTGTCAGAGCTGCTTTTTTGTCCAAATTCCAAAAAAAAAAAAAAAAAAAAAATCAAAAACATTTCAAAACTAAAGATTTGAAGTTGACAGCTTAGACGTTTTGCATACAAAACGTCCATCCTCTTAATGTGCGTTTAGCTTCATTCATTTGCATGTCTTTGTATCGGCATGCGAGCATCTGGCGTGTGTGTTTTGTCCTTTTGTGCTTAAGGAAGGAGGGGGTGGCAGACAGACTGAGGGTAGGCAGCTGAGGATCCCACATGCACACAAACACAGATCAGCGGTACAGGTCAAAGGTGAGTGGGGAGATCGCCTCCGCAGCCTCGTGGCACACCATTCAGTAAAACTGCAGTGACACAATGAGCATGACGACACACTCAATAGGTTCTCGATGGTCTTTTATTGCTCAGCAGTGGCGCTTGCAGTCACTGCTGCTGTGAGTGGTGGATATAAATGGGAGAGGGAAACTCTTTGCATACCGACAGACATTAGAAACAAAATCAGAATGAAAAATATCAGAGTCCAGACTCATAAATTTAGAGTAAAAATATGTTGCCCTTGTTAGAAAGATGCAAGTTCTCCAACCAATCCAAATGAGGCACAACAGTCAATATGTTTGAAAAACAATTGCATGGTTTTA